GGAGGTGGGTCGGGCCTGCAGCTGTAATATTTCCAAGTATGAGCGATAATAGTACAATAAAACGTCGTATAACGTGGCGGCACGCTGAATTTGATGCAGCTGGCATGGCGAGCTTCTCCCGAGCAGTCCTTGTAAGCGGTGGCTTGGGGCCGGTTCCCCGAGGCAGCAGTCAGGTTGGCAGTCCGCATGTAGGGCAGCAAGGCGCCAGCCGCCGTGATTCACGGCAGCGGGGGTGCGTGTTGTACCAGGGAAGGTGATTACGGTGCATATGTTGAAGTGGGAGGCTAAGATTTGGCAGCTTCTGATTCCGGAGTGCTTGGTGCTGTGCTATGTTGTCGTTTCTTTAACGTATCATGTTATTTAAAGCCCAGAAAAGGTAAACAGCAAGAGGTGGTGGTGGTCAGTGTAGTACGTTGATGATTGTGAATGTCAGTAACAAGACTGAAAATTTCCTGTGCAGAACTGTGGCGCTTACGCAAAAGTACTAGTTGGCTCATAAAGAGAGCTGTAGGGGAAAATGTCAGTGAAAAAGTGTTTAAGAGGCAAGAGTAATGAGATCATAAAATCATAGAAAGGTTTGGGTTGCAAGGGACTTCAAAGACCATCTAGTTCTAATCCCCTGCTGCGGTCAGGGACACCCTCCACTAGACCACGTTGCCCAAAGCCCCATCCAACCAGGCCTTGAACACTTCCAGGGATGGGGCATCCACAACCTCTCTGGGCAACCTGTGCCAGTGCCTCACCACCCTCACAGTAAAGAATTTCTTTCTAATATCTAATCTACATCTACCCTCCTTCAGCTTAAACCCATTACCCCTTGTCCTATCACTACACTCCCTGATGAACAGTCCCTCTCCACCTTTCCTGTAGGCCCTTTTAGGTACTGGAAAGCCCCAACAAGGTCTCCCCAGAGCCTTCTCTTCTCCAGGCTGAACAACCCCAACTCTCTCAGCCTGTCCTCGCAGGAGAGGTGCTCCAGCCCTCTCATCAGCTTTGTGGCCTCCTCTGGACTCGCTCCAACAGCTCCATGTCTCTCCTGTACTGGGGCCCCCAGAGCTGGACGCAGTATTCCAGGTGGGGTCTCACCAGAGTGGAGTAGAGGGGCAGGATCACCTCCCTCGACCTGCTGGTCACACTTCTTTTGATGCAGCCCAGGACATGGTTGGCTTTCTGGGCTGCAAGCGCACACTGCCGGCTCATGTTGAGCTTCTCATCATTCAATACCCTCAAGATGACTGAGGCTAGTTTTAGAGACAGCAAGAGATGCCTCCTAGGAGGCAGTAAGGATCAGTGAGCCTTGTCAGTCTCCAAATAACTGAGCACTAGTCTGCTCCAGATTATTTGCTCGCTTTCTGCTTCTCTGTTTTCTTACAGTGTCAGAGCTTCTCATTTAGATGTAGGCATTCTTCAGCCTCTCCTTGTGGGCCTCATGTAGTTGGTCTTTAATTGTCCGTTAAGAAGTATAATTGAGGTTCTGTCATTCTCGTCCCCTGTATGTGTTTGACAGGTTTAAATCTACTGAAAAATCTTAAGCAACTTTCTAAGCATAGTTTTTCAGAGGCTTTATAACTTAACCAAATCTGGGTTGTTCTGTGTGTGAGTGTGGATAGGAAAACAAAAAAAAAAAAAACCAAATCCATAGCAAAAAAAAAGTCCCCAATTCTTGCTTCTATCAAGATCTTAGTCAGCAATTAGTGTACTACAGCCTTTTCAGGAAACCTTTAATTCTTTTCAGGGAAATGTGTATGTTTTCTTCTAGATTTCAAGGGTTTAAGAAGTGGGTCAAAACATTTTCTTTCAACCTTCTTTTCTTCTCAAGATAAATAGTGCCATCCTTTGTACACACTGTGCCCCAAAAAGTGGTGTCATGCAACGAACATTTCAGCCAAATCGTCATGCAGTGACCTGGATAACTCAAAATGGGGTTTTGCAATAACTTACTAATTGGTCTAGGGAAAAAAAATGGTTGTTCACAGCTGCTGTGGGAACATTTGTGTTATAGCCATGAGACTGATTTTTTTATTTTACTAGGAAAATATTGCATAAACAATTAAGGAGTTAATATTATTTAAACTCACTGTTTTCTCTTTTTAGATTCATCTGCATTTATCCAGCATATTTGAATAACAAGAAGACAATAGCAGAAGGAAGAAGGATACCTATAGACAAAGTAATTTTGTGGGTGGCAGGGAAATAATGATGTTTTGTTTTGCTGTGCAGTATTGTGTAGAGTTGGAAAATAAATCTTAAAGTTGTTGATCCCCCATGGCAAGTAGCTCAATAACTGGAAATTACAGTGTATTTGAAGATAATGTAGTGTCAGCATATGAATTTGGTAGAAGAGCACTGGGTTTAAGTGTCTGCTTTCATGTGAGCAGCACCTTTGGCAAGCAAGTGAAGTGATGCAGAAAAGAATAGCTAGCTGATGATTGTTATATTCTTGCCCTGTCCCCTTTGCTGCTGTCAAGGATAGAATTTACAATGCATGTGGCACATACACTTGGTAGTAGTTGTTGCTTTTAATCTGTCCAGAAGTAGTTTTTCATCATCTCACTCCTTTATAATATTTTTAACAATCAGTGATGGGAATATAAAGGGGTTTTTTCACTGCTTAGGGTTGGGGTTTTTTTCTGATAATAGTTAAAAATAAAATCAATCTTGAGCATGTAAGTTGCCAATTGAAGATCTGTCTATGGAAGGAGACTGCTGCCCTGTGCCTAGAAAGTTTCTATTCTTTTCTCCTTCAGTCCTTGCTGTACGTTTGCTGTTGCTCATTCGTGGTGTTTGGCGGGGGGGTTGTAAATATAATAAATGCTATTTAATTTCAGTTATTTTTCCTAAGCAGCTCTTTTATTTACTTCCATCCTAATTAATTTTCTCATCTGTTTCCTGTTTCACTGATGTCTTATCTCTTTTTTTTTCTACTTTGATGTTTTCTAGATGATAGGAGTGCTCACAGATGACTTCTACAGTATTTTTGTCATTATTTGAAGTACCTTCTCTTTCCTCATCTGCTTTTTCTAGTTACAGAGTATAGGGTGGGAAAGAGCTAGCTATTGGTGTATACGTAGGTCATCACTGAAAAATAATTAACACATTGTTTCAACAGGCTGTTGAAAATCCTACATCTACAGAAATCCAAGATGTATGTGCAGCTGTGGGATTCAATGTGCTGTTAGAGGTAAATTAGAAAAACAAAATAAAACCACAAAAAAGACCCAAAAACTTGATATGTGTCTCTGTTCTTCTTTCATCCTATCTTTTGTTACAGATAGGATAAATTGCAATTTAGAAGTTTTTGTTATCAGGCAAGATATTTGCTTGCTTTGAGTAACAGCTGACTAAAATGATGAAGTAAATGTTGGAAAACTGTGTGCAATGCAGGAATAACCCAGATCGCTGAGACTATGCCACTTTTTAAGCTTATAAAAAGATTGCTTTTATTTAACTATGCTTCTGAGAAGACTATCCTAGATGCTTAAAAGTGTGTCAGAATAAAAGATAAATTTGCAAGCTGCAACTCTGCAAATTAAGCTTTTAAAAAAAGCATTTTTTTAATGAAGGGTGATTACCTTTTGGAATGACTGTCCTGTAGGAACAGAATTCTGATGCTTGAAATCTTCAGGGTCCTTTGGAGTTATGTTTTAGCCAGAGAATGTTAATATTTTTGTTGCAATACCTGCTTGGTCTTTAAAAAGTTTGTTAGTTACCTCTTTGTTAGGGTATGAGTCTGGATTTCTGGAGAGGTAACTTTTTGCAATTCATTTTCTGAAGTAATTATCAATTTAAAATACTATTGCATTTTTTGTCACTTCTTTACTAAAGAACTTAGGTCCTCATCTAAGAGTGTGACTGGTATCCAAAAACCAGTACAATATCACTTTGCTTTTCAGAAGAAGTAGAATATATTCTGCATACCAGCCTGTGAAATAGCCATTGCTTGTAAGAAACCTGTAACATTTTAATAAAAATGAGAGTTATGAACATTCAGAAGCAGTGGGCCTCAGACTGTGATCGACTGACATACTGTCTCTAGGTGTTCAGAAGGGTTTGAGGCTGTGGAGATGAAACAAAAACCTGTGTCAGTGTGGTCCAGACTGGTGGAGAAGTAGAACAGTCCCTGTAGCAGGTTACTCACTAAATTGTTCAGTACCAGTAGCTGGTTGCAGCAGTGCTTCTGAAAAAGTTATGCTGTAGCTTTGAATGCTGCTGCAGTAGCTAGGTGGTGGAAGACACTGTGGAGAGCTACAGTTATGGCTTGCATCTGTTCAGAAGACTTTCAGTCTGCTATGACTTTGATTGCCTAATGCATTTTGCAGAAAATTATTCCAGTACTTACCGTAACAAGTTTCTCCTTTTGTATGACAGAAAAATAAGATGTATCCTAGGGAGTGGAACAGAGATGTGCAGTACAGAGGTAGAGTACGAATACAGCTCAAACAAGATGATGGCAACCCATGTTTACCTCAGTTTCCAACACGTGAGTAGAGTACCTGGCTCTGGCACTTTATCTGTTACTAAACCAGAAAGACTTTGTTTATTTTGTTATGTTACCAGCTTGTTCAATTAGTTTTACTGTTATAATTTTTACAACTTTTGAGTTAAATTTGCTTGTGTGAGCATTGAGTGGAGTTTGTAAAATGGTGGTGTGAAGAATGTTGTGTGATTGGTGTCCAGTTCAGCAGTCATTCAGTTCTCTTTTGTTGACAGTCAAAACAGAGGTATTAAAATGGCTAAATTCTACCTTTTTCTTAGGTTACATCCATCAGCTAGGCATCCTTATGGATGCCAAATTGATAAAATACAATACTGACTTCAGTTTTCTGCGGGCCATTTTCATAAATTAACAATGGAGCAGTTCCCTTTAATTAACAAGAATAGGTCATCTTGAATGACAAGTAATTTAGTATTTTGGATTTTTCCTGATGAGTAATCAGTGTGTAAAAGGGAAGCAAATATGTATCTAAAGAAGCATGTATCTTAAGGAAAGAGCAAGAAGAATACTGAATCTACAGTACCCTAAGAACGCTATTGGTCAGGGGATGATTTAAAACCATATTCTTGCTGGAAGACAGCAGTGTCTTTTCAAAAATACTTGTAGCTTTTGGCTGTCCAAGGTATTTTAGGACATTAAAAGGTGAAGGGGAAAAGTAACAGGAAGTATGTAGATACTTAGGAGATTGTCAGGTTACATGTGAGTTCCAGTATGCTGTGGCATTTATCAGTCCTGCACTTTTTTAAAAATTAAAAGGAAGAAGTTGATAAGAGTTTTTTTACAGACTTCTAGCTACACAGGGTAAGGAAGCAGAACTCCTAGGCTTTATGTCTAGTTTAACAGAAATCTGAAGTGGGGCTGGAGTTTCTAACTTTGAAAATTATGCAAATGTTCTTAACATGGTAAGCATGCATTGATCTTTATTTTTAGGTAAATCAGTGATGCTCTATGCTGCAGAAACCATTCCCAAACTGAAAACAAGAACCCAAAAGATGGGAGGTAGTGATCAAAGTCTTCAGCAAGGAGAGGGAGGCAAGAAAGGTAAAGGGAAGAAAAAGAAATGAGCTCACATCTGGAATAATTGTTACATCACATAGTTGTACTTATGACAAATATGGATGGACACATTACTGCTGCAACTTTGGAGTGAAAGATCACGAGCAAGAAATAAACAGGTGAAACTGAATAGAACTGCTTCATTTTCTCAGAACTGGAATGCATGTTGCTGCCTCGCATCTGTGTAACGATAAATAGGTTTTCATACACAACCTGCAAGTCTGAAGCTAGCATCCACTTTTAAAAGCAAAAGAACATAGGCAAATGGGGTGGGCAGGAGAATTATTCTTTCTGGAAGAAATATGCAGCTTTTGATAGATAACTAAATGTTCTTACACAGACTAGATATCTGAAAACTGGTTGCCTTAGTAAACCATTTATCTATGCTAGTGAAGTGATTGTCTTAATTCTGGAGAGTCTTTATCACTAAGAGAAAAATGTAAATCAATGAGGTTATGGCTCTGTAAACTTCCCTTGCTAATAATCTTTCACAACTGTCAAGTGTACTAATAAAGATGACATGTTAATTCTATAAAACTACATTTTTTTAAATACTTTTTTCCAAAAGTGTTAATTTTTCCTCCACAGCCTATTGTAAAGAAGGCAGTGACATATATTGTAAGGATAATATTGTAAAGTTTTAAGATACTTTGAAAAAAAATAGTTCCCTTTTGTATCTTGTATAATATAGTATACTGTATTATCCTGTTTTGGGTTGTTGTTTGAGAGCTTAGGAAATGTAGCTTTATTTTCTACCTGTCAAATACTATTCCAGATGTCGGAGGCTTGCAATATCTGGTAACTTAAATATTTTACTTTTTTTATGTAGCCCACAGATAGGGACAGAAAGTTACTTGGGAGGATGAGTTGGTCAGAACAGCTGTCCAGTAGTAAGGCTCCTTCAAATAATGAAGAAATGGCCTGTGCAACTTAAATGAGATGTGGTTTAGTATAAGGAGACTAGAAAAGAAGTAGCAGTACTTGTTTTGAGTGAAAACAAACATCCTGCATGAGTTTTCTAATCCTTACTATATGAAAACAAAGTCAGTTGAATGCCTTCACAGATGACTACTGGAAGCAAGTTATCAGATTATTTTTGATAAATGTTTCATGTGGCAATGTTCTCTTTTAGGGTTTGTTGATCAGGTATGCTATTCTATGGCATCACATTTTCCCATTTTAAAGATAAACAGCATTCAAAATGTATCTAGACATTTAATGACTATTCTAAAGTAATGAAACCTGGTAAAGTTCCTCATGGTCCCTGCTCAAGTTACTCATGCTTGTAGTTCGAGTTTTCTTATGTTCTTATATTGTTCCACTCCATCTTTTTCAATAGATGGTGAGTTGCTAGTTGCCCCTTGAAGTCAATGCTGACAGGTACTGCTAGTGCAACTGCTTAGAGCCCCTGACTTGTGAATAGTTCAAAGTCAGTTGTATTTCCTGTCTGTAATACTTTGTAAGCATGGTTCTTGTAGTGGGTTGACCCCAGCTGGGGGCCAGGTGCACCCAAAGCTGCTCTATCACTGCCCTCCTCAGCTGGGCGGGGGAGAGAAAATACAACAAAAGGCTCCTGGGTCGAGATCAGGACAGGGAGAGATCACTCACCAGTTACTGTCATGGGCAAAACAGAATCGACCTGGGCAAATTAATTTCATTTATTACCAATCAAATCAGAGTAGACTAATGACAAATAAACCCAAATGTTAAAATCCCTCCCCCTACCTCTCCCTTCTTCCCAGGCCCAACTTCACTCCCCATTTCTCTCCCTCCTTCCCCCCCGCCATCAGCACAGGGGGACAGGGAATGGGGGTTGTGGTCAGTTCATCACATGGTGTCTCTGCCACTCCTTCCTCCTCAGGGGGAGGACTCCTCACACCCTGCCCCTGCTCCAGCGTGGGGTCCTTCCCACAGGAGACAGTCCTCCACCAACTTCTCCAACGTGAGTCCTTCCCACGGGCTGCAGTTCTTCACCAACTGCTCCAGCATGGGTCCCTCCCATGGGGTGCAGACCTTCAGGAACAGACTGCTCCAGCGTGGGTCCCCCACAGGGTCAGAAGTCCTGCATCTGATGCCTGGAGCACCTCCTCCTCCTCCATCTTCACTGACCTGGGTGTCTGCAGGGCTGTTTCTCTGACACCTCACTCCTCTCCCTAGCTGCAAAATGCTGCTGGGTTTTTCCAGCCCCCTCCACCCACCCCCCCTTCTTAACTGTTATCCCAGAGGCACTACCACCTTCACTGATGGGCTTGGCCTTGGCCAGCAGTGGGTCTGTCTTGTAGCCGGCTGGCATTGGCTCTGTTGGGCATGGGGGAAGCTTCTAGCAGCTGCTCACAGAGGCCAGCCCTGTAGCCCCCTGCTAACAAAACCTTGCCATGTAAACTCAAAACAGTTGTTTAATGGAGGAGAAGGATGGATTTTCATCCTCACTGCAGTTGTACCAAATCCAAAAGCTGCCATGACAAATTCCTCAGGCCAAGCCCTGTACCAGTGTGGGAGTAGTAGTATGTAGACTCCAAAATAGAATAGCTTAGGAGAAGAAATACTGTGTTCTAAAGATTGACCATATACAAATGTTTTCAGGTTTTTTTCTGCTGATGTAACAGTTTACACAAGCTACCTTTGGAGTGTCTGGTCTTGAAAACACACCTAAACTTTGAGATGTTAGTTAAATAGTATCTCTGTGAGTTGATGGAATGTCATGGCACAGGAACAGCAGGAACAGGTGCTATCTGAAAGTTGTTTTTGTTAAGAGAAAACAACTGGGCATAGTCAGAAGTTGTTATTTACATCCACTCTATAGAATTAGGGAAGTGCTACAAGTTAGTTGTAATACGGGGAAAAATACCAAGTGAGGTATGCAAGCAAGAATGGAAGGTACACTTGTGATATAAAAGACAGATTGTGAGGCTCAGGTTATCCCTGCCTTCTCCTGAGTGCTAAGTAACTCTTCTGAAACTTTATTGAAAGGGAGAGCTCCGTGAAAATTCATTGGTACAAGATAACTTGGCTTCAAGATGTTAAGTGACTCCAGCCAAGTCATGATCATGTTATGCCTAAATATTCTAAATCAGAGCTGTAGACCATGGACAGCTGAAAAAGGTGGAGGTAAGTCTTACGGGATATCTGTTCACAATGGTCAGAAATCAAATATCTTAAGAACTTGTCTGTGCTATGATATGTGAGTGAGAAAGAATCTTAGTGACATTGCTTACCAAATTTCCCAATCAAAGAACCCAAAATAGTGAAGCTATTTTAAAGTGTAAGGATCTTACAAAAAAGACTGAGAAAGATTTCTGAAAAGAGTAATATTGAGCTGAAATATATAAAACTGTGATTTAATCAAATAAACAAAGACAGTTCTACAGGTAAAGCTGACTTTTTTAAGCAAATTGTGCAGTGCTGGGAAATGAGATGATTACTACCAATAGGGAGTTGAAGTCTGATTCCCTAAACCCCTGCCTGCTTATCCCCCATCTCTAACAGAGTTCAGTGTTTTGCTGGTTTTTGGTTTTTTTATTTCTATCTGGCTTTAGAGTAAGTATACTATGTGAGCAATATTTGTTCCCAAATGAGGCATCTGAAAGTTAAAAATTTCCCCTTTCCTGCCAAGGTTAAGCATACAAACCAGACTTTCAATTGTATATTTCCTGATTTTTAATAAACTGGGTTCCTTAGAGACTTAAAAACAAGCTGGTTGAGATAGTAAGTCAGGTTCTTCTGCAGGTCTTTCCCCCTTCTTCAACACCCTTCCCCTCTCACCTTCACACACACACACACCCCCACCCCCACCCACACACACCCCCCCCCAGTTTCTGGGAACAGGGAAGATGGTTGGAGGCCGTTGTGGGACTTGGGAGTGGAGACAAGGCTGCTGTAAAAATACATAAGTACCACACTGTTGGTCTCAATGCTATCAATAAAAAAAATTTTTTTTTGAGGGAAAAACTGTTATAATGGGTGTCTTTTTATTTCATCTGTCTTGCTTTTACAGTTTTCTCTGAGAATTTGCTTAAGCAGTGTAGTTTTTAAAACGACACTGCGCATCTGTGGTTTCCTGTAGGTGGCGATATTAACAAAGGCAGACATGCATCACCCAGTGGGAATTTACTCTGCACTCAAGGTGTGAGGAATAGGGATGCTGAGATAGTGCCCCTCCGGAAGATACTTGTCTAGCTAATTAAAAGTATATATGTGTTATTTTCCTATGCTGGTTTTTTTGGTACCCAGACAAAGATTAAATGTTTGAAATGGGTATGTGAGCTCAGAATCCCTATAACAATCCTAACAGTGATGTCTGTGTCAGCAACGGATGGGGACATTGACACTGAGCATTAGGCAGATCTGAAGACACAGGCAAACAGCAAAGGCATAGCTAACAATGAAAATTCAGCACCGTGGTGAGATAAATGCTGTATTCTTTCAGATGTGTGGAAGAGAGTGTGTAGCTGCTGTAACAGCATCATTATTCAGTTCTTAATGTCTCAGAAGGTTATTTTGAAATGTGGTTTAACTTGGGAAGTGACGATAATGAGTGACCATACATAGCTCTCCACCTTAAGCCATGAAGTAAATTTTCTCAAAGATGACATTTGCAGAAAACAGCTGCTTTTTAAAAACTTGCCTGTGTGGATATCCTGTTCCTTGTGTGTACTTAACAGTTAGAGCTTTTTAGCCAGAACTCCTTTTTGGGCCAGTGTATTGTGAGAATTGCACATAAGAGGTTAAAAGCACTGGTGTCTGCTTATCTCTTATACAAACATTGTGGCTGGAGATCTGCAAGGTTGGCACTAGAAGCAGCTGAAGGAGGGAGTGCTACAGCAGTAAGATAGCTTTGTTTTGTCTAGAGAATGCAGAATAAACAGACGGTTGCTACACAGAATCTTGAAGGCCACGGTGCCTGGAGTGAGACCTTTTGCTTCATTATCCATGAAATGAATATTAAAGTATGATAATGAGCTAAAAGAAGTACATGCTAAACATGTATGACTACAGTCCTCAACTCTCCACCCAAATTATGTTGTCACCCCAGGGAGGAGAACAGCTAAGGATGGGGTATAAAGGACACTGAGAAAGTTACCCTTGGGGGTGGGGAGAGAAGAGATTGAAGACCCAGAAGAGGCAGTTGACGGGCTGTGTTCCTCCACCCAAGACAGGGACCCCTTCTTGGTAAGCATTGTGCCTTCACCTTTTGGTGAAGAACACCCAGGAT